CCCCCTTCCCCTACGCTGGCTCCCCAAACCTCTGCAAAGACCCATCGCGTTACGAAGGGTACCACCTCGCCCTGCAAATACGAGACCCGTGCTTGGGTTCAGCCATGCTCTGTGCATCTTTGGTTTTCGTGACGACTTTTGGGAGACTGCGGCAGTTGGGACATTTGAACGTGAGCATCGGTCACGGTGGGGAAGGTGGATTGCTGCCTGTAATGCCGTAATGGCAGCCAGGAGGGCGGCACGGCTGTGCGAGGCCAGGCAGACCCTGAATGCACTCGCATCAGGATCGGTAGTGCCCCCGAAGCCATGTGCGTCACTCCATTAAATCACTTTATGAACCGGTAATTTGGCCCTTCATACCCATTACATCCCAGTGCTGTTTCAACTGAAGGGACAACACCTTTAGCATCCGTAGCCTGGGCCTCTGAATTTAAAGGCTGGGCAAAATTTTATGGAAGTTACACAATTTGCCTTTGACATTACAGAAAGCAGAACCTGAAGATTTGCCTTTCTGCTTTTCCTTATGACTGTGACTGCGGCACCGCCATCAACGCATGGAGCCGTTCAACCCCGTGCAGACACAGGTCCGTCACCCCCACGGCCAAAGAGGTGTGAAAAACGACCACCATCCAGCACGTACCACCTCTGCTCCAGGTAGAGCCTTAGGCAGCAGCACCTCAACAGCGTGAGGATGAGAGGGGAGGGCAGGAGGAGGAACAGGCTTTTGGGCGACCCGGAGCCCAAGCACCACGCTCCCGACCCGACATACCTCCCGCCCACGCGCCTCGAAGGACTCGCCGCTGGGTCAGATATCCACAGATGTTGCTGTGCTGAGGAAAACCTCACCTTCTGCGCAACCCGTCCCTTGGGGATTTTTCCTTCCGTTTAACTGGAGCTGGTCTTGAATCCCGCAAAATAACGGTGTTTCCATGACAACAGCCCAGCACTGACTCCTCCGGGGCATCTGAAGCGTCAGACACGGCCAGAGCTTCCTCCTGCTCCAGCGTCTCACCCCACGGTACCACGGCCCCGTCCTATCACCTCCCCTCCCCTCCCGCTGAGGTAGGTGCAGACTGCCTTGGGCAGAGCTCCGTCTGCTTTGGCATTACTGGAGTAACTGAAGGGCAAGTCACGCTGCACGAGAGATGTACGAGCAGGCATCGGACCGTGGTACCAGCTGATCCGGGGGAGAAAGGCCAAGAGGGTCTGCAGTCTACAGGATTGGAGAGCTGTTGGATTTTGTAATCCTTTAAGCTTTATTAATAATATTCATAATTTTCATGCCCTCCCCAGTATTTTACAGAGGATATGAAACGATCTTTTGCTATTCACAGTCACTCTTTTTCTTCCAAGACACAGCATTTCTCCTGTCCCCCTTCAGCCGAGACCAAAAGCATCCCCAGATGCAGCCTCTCCCCTCGCAGGGCAGGATACCAGCCCGCCGCAGAATCAGGCCCTGCTTGCCCAAGCATTTTCTCCCGCGGGCGGCACAGCCGGTACCTTGCCCAGAGACCGGCTCCCGCCCGGCCCCCCCCGCCACAGAATCGGCCCCGGCTTGCCCAAGCATGTTCTCCCGCGTGCGGCCCAGCCGGTACCTTGCCCAGAGACCGGCTCCAGCCGAGTGCCCAATTGATCCACCGCTCTTGAAGCTGTTCCAAAACCCCGTCCCTTCCCCGCAGCACTCGTCTGCCCTCAGACCAAGATTTACGAGGATTATCCGCGGCCGTGGCCGGACGAAATGTCCGAAAGCTTTTGTTGCAAAGCCGCGCGCGGCGCAAAGCCGGCAGGATGCTCCGCGCGTACCTGATCCGCACTGGAGGGGTACGAGCGGGACACCCAGACAGACAGCAAGCTCTGAAGCGGGACCTGAGGAGGCAGCGTGGACGCGTGCCAGCCTGACAATGGGGTTTCGTTTAGCAAGCCCAGATTTAAGTGTGGAAATCAAATATGAAGCAGTCGTGGCCAGCATTGTCTGCATTCTTGGAGTGGCACTGAACTAGCAGAGAGAAAAGAACTGAGACACTGGCCCAGACATGCTCCAGCTGTCTGCGACTACCTCTTCCCTCCTCCACTGAATGTAACTATTCAGCTTGTTTTCATTTCATTATTGGATGTTATTTTTGCAACCTGGGAAAAGAATAGAAAAGAGGAAAAAAATAAAGTCCTTAAAATGCTTTCGGGTCTATTTTTAAGAACCAGGCCATTTCTTTCCTTTTTGTCAGAGATAAAGTACAGACTTTAAAAAGTACACGAGGCCCGTGGTATCATTAGTTAAGCATTTGTTTCTCAAATAAGGTCCTTTATCTCAGAGGCAGCAGCATTTGCGCTGCTGTGGTTGTTCACGTAGTCATACCCTGCGCGTGCTGAGCAACACGCAGTTAAATAGCCGTGTAAAACACCCGCCGGGTGAGAACAGCTGCCTACAGGTAACCTGAAGTTTCGTGCACGCACTTGCCAAACGTTTCGGCTGTGGCCGCGTAAGCTCTCGCGGGCAATGTGGGAGCAGGGCAGGCCCTTTCCTCCATCACCGCGGGGAGGAGAGCGGGAGGCACTCCCTCACCGGGCACAGCGCAAATCCAGCTTTTAATGAGTTCGTTAAGAGCCTGATGCTGCAGATGGCTATTAACGGGAGCGCTTCTCGACCCGCCGCAGGGCCAGCCCTTCCCCAGCTCCCCTGCCCTCCTCCGCCTTCCTCTCAAGAGCACAGCTCATCCATCTTTAATGTTAAAAAGAATTCGCATCCGAGACCTGATAATAATTTATTTTCCCCTCTCTTTACACCAGTTTTGCTCGTCGGGGAAATGCCAGCACGCACCGCCCGTCCCCCCAGCTGGGGACACTCCACCCCGTGAAGGAGTCAGACACTTGCCAGACGGAGGGCCAGGATTATATAGTTTCCCACTGAGCGTAGTGGGAATTCTCAGTTTGCGCTGAACTTCTTGGAAAAAATCTTCCCTCCGTTTTGATGCTGACACACTTCAGCACAGCAGCAAATTTTCAACGGTGCTTCAAGGGAAAAGCAAGATTCGGAATGTTTCTTACCATTTTATCTTCCTCTTCGGGACGAAGGCATACACGCTAACCCAGAAGCTCTCTTCATATCAGCTTTTGCACACTCCTGCGGTATTCCTGGCCCCAGAAGGTCAGGTACACTTTAATGTGAGTTGTTGTCTCTCCAAACATTGTTTTGTACCATCCAAAGCAGGTCTGTAATTCTAAATTTGACTATTTTGAAGTTAAGATTTTTTGAAGTCCACATGCAATAACTGCTCCCTACATGCAGATCGTTGCTTCCTAATAAATGGCGTTGCTCTAAGGATTTGTGTGGAGAAGTTTTAACCTTACTCTTATCTTATTCCCACCAGTTCAGCAAGGGGAGAACCCTTCCTACCTCCTACTCCAGCATGGTCCTTGCCTGGGCTGGCCAAACCTGAGCATGGCACTCCCCAGCAATACTGGAGACATCAAGCGTGGCAATCCGCTCCCCCAGGTGCCGAGCAGGTTGGAATAATGGAAATAAGTTTTAAAGCAGATTGGAAGATGGAAAAGGAATTTTGGAATGTTTCTTGAAATGGTGTTCTTTCCATTTTACGGCATTCAAATTAGATCATTTCCCTTTTCATGCTGACTTTTTTACCTTTTAGTAGTTTTTAATTTTTTGTTCAATGAAAATTAATTCTCATACTAGAATCTAATTTCCATCCATTAAGGAAAAAAGATGATGATTCTGAGCAATGAGTTTCTCCAAATCTAGAAACCCTAAACATATGCTCAACACCAAGCCTATAAGCAGCTCCATTTACCTTAATATGTGTGCTTAAGTGGTTTGTTGGCAAAAACTGGAGTGCTTATCCCATTCCAGATGAGCCTATTTAATATTTACTGGTATTAATCTGCTCAATAACTATAAACACCAGAAAAAAAAAATGAATTAGCTTCTCACAGAGCTTTTCCAAATGTGATTTCTACTTTATCCAGGAAGGCCAAACTGTTCCATGCTCAAGGGCTGACCCCAAAGCCACAGGAATCAGTGGAAGGGTGTTGAGCAATTACACCGGTTTGGGGATGGGATCGCCCGTGAGCAGAAACACCTTTCTGTTTTTGGCGCTGTGACTAATAGGGATAACAAAAGCTCTATGCTGACATTAAGAAAATTTGTTTTATGTATTGACATCCTGTTAACCTCCAGCGCACTTAAAGGAAGCTGTTAATTTAATGGTTGCATCAGAAAGATATGGCAGAACATGAATTGCTGAGCAACGAAGGAAATCTCCAAGCCTAATAGCAGCAGTAACACCTGCACAGAACAACACTGACTGCAGGGACCTCTGTACAGAGCATACGTTTAAAGAATCTGCCCTTGACAAGGAGAAAATTTTCAAATCAAAGCAGTAGTAGCTGATACAGACTCTGGATACAAGCTTTGGTATCTGCCTCCACCATACCCTCCAGCACCAAAGCCTCTCTAGATCCCTACATGTCCTTCCAGTTGGAATTTATACAACATGGATGGATTAATCCCCTTCCACCACTTGGGGTGAGAGGCTGCATGCAGGTTCTTACCTCGCCCTGTCTGTAAGGTGTTCTTAGCAGCCCTCAAGAACCAGAAAAGTTTACTTTGCTATTAAACCCGAGCAGTGCCGTGAATTCACTGCAATTAAATTTGACTGTAGGTGGCATCCATTTTACTGAGACATCAGACTTTTACCTTTGCATATACGCACAGTGTAAGTGGAAGGCAATGGTAAGACACTTAGCTAAAATGACATCCTTGACCTAAAAATATAGCAAGATATAAAGGCCTTGACTGAACAAAATACTTCAGCGCATACCTAGCAGCAGACACGCAAGACGCTGTTGAACTCAGCCTGACACAAGTGCTGTAACTAGTATTATGATAATCAGGATTCATTACAAGTTGGGTGGGATGTGAATTATAACTCTGCTGTAAAACCAT